TGTCCTCCATCAGCAGACGTGCTCGCGCCAGACCAACGCCTCTGGTGGGCATTTAAAGCAACTGTTTGATTAAAAAAACATGCAGCCGTAGTAATAGCTTCGTCCTAGGTGTTGAGGATGAGTGTGTTCCTGCTTTCACAGGTCTGGGAGTGGGCGGTTTTACATTACCTGTGGTATAAAAGTGTCTCCCAACACAGATTGAGTCAAATAATGACTCACTACCTGTGGCTCCTTTCAGCTTATTCCTGGAGGGAAAGTCTGAACAGCAGTTCCATGAAGCTAACGTGCTGCACAAAGATGTCTTTGTTTGACTCACTCAAGACTGTTGCGCAGTATCAAGAAAAACATACGACATCATGCTGTTTTTTTAAAATAAAACCATCTCGATAAAATAACAGCAAACTGTGGTTTATGTTTTACTGCTTCCTGTTCTCGGTGCAAAACAGCCATAATTGTCTTCTGGTTGGAGACTCACTGTGTGCCATTAAATGAAACAACTGCAGTAAAGTGTGGAATACAGTGAGGATGAATAAAATGTAAAATTACATATGAAGTGAGGAAAAGTCTTTATGCTGTGCTGCATGAATGACAAAACCACAGATTTAACTTTGTAGCCTGAGATTCAGCACTTTTTTTTCCTACTGTTTAATTCTTATTCTGGGTCAAAGTTCAGCTGGAACCAAAACCAGCAGTCTTTGGCAGAGAGAGGTTCACCATCCCAGGACCGCTGGGAGACAGAGCTAAGAATTCAAATTTCACTGCGAGTCAAAGTAATTTTAATTTCAGTTATAATGGAGAAATTCCTAGTTTTATTTGTTCAATGCCAACAGCAGTTTTGTAGATTTTTTTTAAATAAAGCCTCCATCTACAAAAAACCAAAAAGAGTTTAGGAACCACTGCTGTAAGAGAAGAGTGCTAACTACTTCTACCAGCAGGTGGCCTCCCTGAGACATGTAGAGGTGTAAATTCAAATATCTCCTGCTTCTAGAGCGCTAACGAAGTTGTTAGCCTCAGACAGGGAGGGTTGTGTCAACTTTATCAAACCCGTTAGAAAATGTTGAGCTAACCCTACCCCGATGGCTTCCAGCTTCCTCTGCAGCTTCCATTTTAGGATTAGTTCATCATCCATCACCGTGCACCCCCTTGGTGACCCTTATAACCTCATTAATTTGCCTTCCCGTCCTTGCCCCTCCCACTGAGACCACAAACCCCCCACCATTGTTCTCATTTATACAGGCAACACAGCCTGAATGTCTTGAGGAATTTGACGCCAGAGAAACTAAAAAAAATGGTGAAAAAATATGTTAGTGCCAGGAGGGAAGAGAAGAAGAAAATCAGAGTGTTATAGGCAACGTCGAGCACCTTTTTGTTGACAGTTTACCATCTCTGCTCAGTTAGCGTTGATCATTTATCCATGAAATACAGGAGATCTCACTGGAGATCCAGCTGCATTTTATGCCTTCCCATGTCCTCTGGCTTTTTCACTTGTGTTAAACGTCTTTAAACGCGCCTGGGAGGATACTCTGTGAGTAAACAACACCTGGGTGTGTAGTTCAAATACGCTACTACTCAGCTGTGTCACATTTTATAGCAGCTCCCTTGAATTTCTCTATCTTTACAGAGTCTGATTGTTGATCAAGGCGACGCCAGACGACCGCACTGCCACACTTTTACTGTCCTCGGTTTTCCTGGCATGAAAACAACTCAACGCACATTTATTTAATTCAATTACTTCTGACAAATCTATGTTAATACTGGAGTAATATGAATATCACATGAGGATATATTTGGGAGTCGTCTGTCAGTAGAGCCATCCCTCTGAACACAGATTAGAACATCTTTATCCTTCCGTCCTTTTCTGGAAGGACACGGGCGAATCTTATTGTCCTGTGACTTCTGTGAATCTAGGACACAGCGGAGGGTTTTCAGCAGCTGCCCCCGGCCCTGCCTCTGAGCTCGCTAATTTAACTATTAATCTCACATCATTAACCCTCCGTGACCCTTTCCTCCCTCTGCTCTAACACCACTTCTGCACTGGATAACGAAAAACAACTCGAATCTCTGCAGCCACGAAAATAATCCTAATGTTTGTTTTGTTTAGTTTTTTTTTTTTTTTCATAAATCACTTCCACCCAGAAACAACACTTTCTATTGTTTGGCTTTATCTCCCCCTCAGCCCTGGCTCTGCCTCCGTGTGATGTGTGTGTGATGTGTGTGTGTGGACCACAGCTGTCTGTTAACTGTATTACTCTCCGAGTGGCTCTCTGAGGTGGATATGGTTACTTTTAATTAAAAAAAAATCAATTTCTGCTGCTGTCAGTTTTCAAACACAGTGACCATATGGACACTTAAGGACACAATTCAATTTGCAGCCCCGTAGACCCCCCCCCCACCCACCCAACCCCCCCCAAACAGTCTTTCCAAACCTTTGCAGCCACCATGGTACTTCCATCATGAACAGTTGCCTGATTTATATGGAAATAAATCAATGACCTCTGTCTTATAGATTTATTACATTTGAAATGCTTTTAATTAATTTAAACACACTCGTGTGCAATAATTATGCTGATTTCATTATGACATGTCTGTGGTCCGACTCTCAGTGGTCTAATGACTGGACAACAAAGACACCGGTGGTAAATAAATGTTCCATATAACCAGATTATAACTTGAGAGGCCCAGGAGGACGAACATACATCAAAAGCTTATTAAAGCCAATGACATAACTCACAAAGACAGCACTACAAAAAGATAACCATTCCATTTAAGTGCTGGGTCTGTGTGACTTTCAGACTGACCTTGTGGGCCAGCGACCTATTGTGTACAGACAGAGCTGGATGATTAGGCTAGGCTCTCCAGGGATCGATGGGACGTCTGCGATCGGCACTGCAAGTAATCACACAGTATTCTGTGCTGACTCGATGTCAATAGAAGATGAATGGTGTCACGCAGAATGGCTGGTAGTGTTAGCGCGCCGCTTTGTGCCACATCGGTGGTGCAGAATCATTAAAAAAATCCTGTAAGTACTGTACGTATCACGACTGGCAGACGGTCCGTTTGACACTCGTGGAAAAGTCAACGCACCGAGCCGGGAAAACAAAGCGACGCAGCAAGAACGACCTAAAGATTTTATGTCGGCTAACGTATTCCCCATATGTGGTTACAGCAGGGAGACAAGGACACCAGACTGAAGGCGTGTAATCAGAGACTTGCTAGGCATAAGCCACCCATAATGTCTGTCTGGTGTCTGCCCTGTAATACAGGACATCCAAAGCAGAACTATCAAGTACACACAACTGGGATGCATACAAATTACAGACATCAAATGCAGGCAACCCTACCATTAGTGGTAGGTGTTATTTTTTTCCCCCCAACGTTCTTTATTTTAATTCTATGTCAGTTTGCTTTACACAGAGACAGCCCTGCTAATAGTAGGTCTAAGACTTTTCCAATCATGCTTTCGTTAAGCAACACCCAGAAGTTAACCTTGAAACCAAGCCAAGCTTCACAAGATTCTGATTCTGTATTTATTTTTCTTTGTGGCTGAGAACTTCACATTTTATTTCCTGTCCATATGGGATGCTGTTTTGTCAAATTTCATCTTATCAAATGGAAAATACTGGAATTTATGACCTGCTGCGTCAGGTTCCTGATGACAACTTTTGTTAAAGTTTTACACTAAAAGGCCACATTCTACATCTTTCGATAATTTTTTTAATTTTTTTAAAAATTTTAAGAGCAATTAAGTTACTGGCTTTTTGACCCAAATATATTTTTTGAATTTAAACATGGCAGCAGAAGCCAAGTGGGAGACTTGACTCCACTCCAGTGTCATTTTTATCACAGGACTTCAGGCTTGTTTGGTTAAAGTTGACACAATACAATTTGAGTTTCTTTGGAAGATGTGTCACTAACCTCCTGTTTAACAGTCATTTGTTTGTTTAAATGATTAAAACATTGAAACAGTAAAACAGTAACTGTTTAATTTATCAGCTTAGTCTTCTACTGTCCAATAAAAACACCAAGGCTACTTTGTCTCCTTGACGATAAAACTTCATCACAGGTCTTTTGTAGAGCGGGGACATTGAGGAAGGACTAATATTCTTTGCTAAATACAGTAAAAGGCACATGAGGGCAGAGTGCTGGTGGTGCAGTTTTTATGGGTGCAGAGACGTCCCTGCTTTGTTGGAGCTGGTAAAAGGATAAGACTTTCAACTTGTCCTCTGACACAGGAAAAACAACTGCACTGAATGATTTTTTTTTCTCCTCAGCTGCTGTTTCTACATTTTCATTTCCAGCTGCATCCCTTCGACTGGGGTTGAGCTCTGTCTCCGTCCCTACAGTCGCTGTGCCTTGAATAAAGAAGAGGAAAACTTTCCTACGTGGCCAGGTTCGCACGTAGACTGTGCTCCACTCAGAGACATGACAGGAGACGCGGCCGTCATCACAGGGGTGAGTGAGAAAGAACAAAAGGCTGCAGAAAAACAGATCCTACTGGACCCATGCATGAGAGGACGGGGCGGTCGCCGCAGCCGGGTGAGGTAATGGGAGAGGTTGGGACATAATTGAATTACAGTGACCCTGTGACAGCACTGTAGGTGAGGTCATGTGTTGCATTAATTCTATTCCCGACCCTGTCTTTGGCAGAGCAGTGCCTCTTGACTACCCCTGAGACCCAGAGGTGATTTCTTTTTCTAGAACCTTCTTCAGGTTAGAAGTGCTATTCACATTGAAAGCCAAGCTCTAAGACTGATGGCACTTCACTGGATCAATGCACTGAAGAATTCTAAGGTATAAACATGCATTTATAAAAACAATTTACCTGATGTAAAGAATAACTGTAGGTTGAATAGTTTAAAGAAACACGGACCAGTGTCTACCAGGTGTCTGTTTCCTGTATTTTTAAATTTAAACCCAAAATATCCCTCCAGTCAAAATACACTTGAGGTTCATTGTGATGGAGGCCAAACATAACTGCACGGCTGAGTGAAGCTACTTACTGTCTGCCACAGAGGAGATCACCACACAGCTGAGTAGAAGCAGGGACAGCAACGCCCCTCTGGGCACCAGGGGCACTGCCGGGTTAATATTAGGCACCATGTTCCAAGTTGGCACTGCCTTCTCCTCCGTCCCCTGCTAGATGCGTCCCACTCTGACAGGATCAAAGACTAACACCTGGGAGGGCACAAAGATGAAGAAGACAGGAGCGAAGTGCATTAGTATTCACACTCCTTTTATTTGCATACATTTGAATGAACATAATAACACACGCAGTGGTGAGGTGTCGGAAGCAAGTTGCAAAAGGGGAAACCGCCAGAGAGTGGATTTCTGTACACTTGTACGAAAACAACAGCAGCTGACATCGGGGATCTTTGGTCACGATAAACAAGACAACCGCTAACCACAACAAAACCCCGCCTGGGGCAGAGGGAAAATACAAGTGGAGCCGGCGAAACACGAAGACTACATCAGAGGACCCAGATGAGAAACACTTCACAGTGTGATGCTACAGTGGGAAATCAGGGGGTGAAACAGCAGGAACAAAGGGAGGGGGGCGGGTCTCCAGGAGTAAGCTCATCTACCCTCCTCTCCCATCCCACCCCACTGAGGATCAGTTTAAAACCCAGAGGGGGCTCCTAAAAAGCTCCCTGAGGAACACCGCTCACTTAATGTTTCCCATTAGGAAATTGAAACTGTGTCTTCCAGATGGGTTCAAATCAACAAAGTGGCGTGATCTCATTGAACGACATCATGGACGCATACACAAACAGTCAACTTATAAGGCCGTGGGGGTTGGGGGGGGGGCGCGATTAAATGACTGGTCAACAAAGACGTAGCAGGTGAACCACAAATGAACAGAGGTGGGCAGAACAAAGCAGCGCTTCATTACATTAAGTAGTGGGTGGAGACCAAAGTGTGACAGAATGGCCACATAAACTGCACATAAACTGACTCTCTGTCTTTGAAATGAATCAGGAAATAAATCAGTCCACATGTAACAACAAGAACAAATGACTTTTTGGTTTGTTACATGCTGGAGTTTGAATGTCAAAAATTCCACTCAACAATATTTATGATGTTATCCTGTGTGTGTGTGTGTGTGTGATGACTAACCCAACACTGTTCTGCTGGTGACAGCTGGTGCCGCTCTTTTGTTATAGAAATATATCACTGTACCAGTAAAAGCAACAGAGAAGAATAAAAAGATAAAATGAGAAAAGTTTTAGAAGTTTTTAAGTGGCTCAGTGCTTTTGTTTTCAAGGGCTCCTTGACAATGTTCTCCACGAAGCGTTTACAAGAGGCCTATTGGTTTGGAATGGAGGACTTTCTCGGCTCATCTGTTCACATTCACTGCCCAGTTAGGAGCGGTGACTGAACAATGCTGATACTTGTGAAAAGAGCAAGAAAGGCGCTCGCACAGTGGAATATCTTAGAGGCTCGCTGGGTGGCCAGTCAGTCCATCTTAATGTGAGGCTTGAACACACAGAGAAACCAAATGTGCCGAACACAGTTACTTTACAGGAGGTGAAAAGTGGTCGACTCCAATACAAAGTGACAGTTCACTATGGAAAAACTGGCCTGATATCAGGCTAGCAAATGTGTTAGTGCTACCGTAGTAACTGGATTGTCGTGAAAAAAAATGATTTAACTAAAAAGGTAAACCATAAAATAATCTAAAAGCAATCTGCAAGTTAATTTCAATAGGTCATTGAGTACATGCAGTACTCTATACTGTGCAGTATTCATTGAAATTGTGTACTGTACAATCCATACTGTTTTGGTTAAGGGGTTAGTTGTGTGTTTATTCTGTCAGAATAGGGCTTTACAACTACATTCATAGCACCACCTGCAGGACATGGAGGGAGGAGCTTTGTATGTAAATATTAATCAAATAATGTTTCATACTTTCCTTAGAAAAACTAAACATTAGTGAGGGAGAATAACAGCTCACAGCTGTGCTGGCAAACAAGTTTGTCTTGACATGACAATTTTACATATGGCAGGACGGCGTCACTTCACACAGGTGGGTGGACGGGATGAGTGGAAATGAAAAAAAAACATTGGCAACCGTCCTGCTGCAAACCCTCGGCTGTGAATGGATATCTCTCACGGAAGGCGCCGGAGAGAGGGAGATATTTTTTTCATGTTCGCTGTTCAGGAGACACAAATTCACCGAGTGGGGCGTATTCTTTATTTATTTCACCTCTGACTGTTTCCAGTGAAGCCTGGTACTTCCCGGCAAGTGCTACAGAAGAACAACACTGTGTGTACTGGTGTTGTGATGAAGGTGCCGGGGAGAAAGGAGGACAGGGCTTCAAGAGGAAAATAGTTCAGCGTGATCCAAAATCTGAACAAGAGGCTCAGAATACAGGAAGACATTGTATGCCACTGTGTGGGAGAGCGAGGGAAAGGCAGTAAGAAGACGTAGGAGTGGATGTCTGCCCTTGTGAAGAGCATGTGAATTCTGGGTTGTTGTTTTTTTTTGTTAGAAAGGATCTAATTTGGAAGACGGGGATCAGTATGAATGTATTAAAATATAAATAAAAAACAGAAAGAAAAGGAGTGGAAGTGTGGGCTGCAGATGAAACCATTAATCATTTATGATTCACAATTAATCAGCATTAATTGTAATATCCATATTATTTGGAGAGAAAAAAAGAAAGAAACAATATTTTCATTTATTTCCTTTAAGCGAACTCTGCAGCTGTGACGTCTGCAGCCAGACTACAGCCATTCCTGGTGAAGGACTTGGGCTCGTGTCCAATTTGTCCGGATGTCAGGATCATATATCTCCTGTTCTGCTAGTGCAGAACACGGGTTCTACTGTGGCAACATTTAATCTAAACACAGACACTGAGAGAGAGAGAGAGAGAGATACTGTTATTAAACTAATGTAGTCGTAGACAAAACCCCAAATGGTCTCGGTCTCAGGAGAGACGCTCTCTACATCCTTTAGGAATCACAGACACTGAGGGTGTGTGTGTGTGTGTGTGTGAGAGAGAGAGAGAGAGACATGGTTGGTGTAGCTGTTCTGGTGGGGACATTTTTTTGAAAAATACTATAGTTAGGAATGTACAATTAAGAACACTTTGTCCTGATGGGAATACTTTACAGGTCTCCACTGAGAGAGGAGGTATTTTAAAGTATTCCGTATGAAGTTAGGAGTAGAACTGAGGTAAAAGAGAATTGTGTGTACTTCTGTTCATGTTAGGTTATGTCTACGTCTCTGTGTCAGTGTCTGTGCACTCACTTATTTGAAATGAAAATGTGTCTGTAATATATTAACTTCAACTTTAATTAAACTTAATTTCAAATGGTGAGCGTTCCAAATGGAACATTCCAAAGACAAAGACACTTTTGTGAGGATTTCAACCCAAACACACACCTATTGCCTTGTTTGCCAACCACATCTGCCGCCTGTCAATCAAGCCTTTATACTTTACGTGAGAGTGTGTGTGTGTGTGTGTGGCAAGGGAGTGGCCACCCATACAGAAGTGGGACTCTACAAACAACTCCACACAGAGCCATGCAGAGACGGAGTAAACACCACTGTTACCCTACAGGTAGGAACCCTCCATGGTTTCCCGTCCCTCCGACTCACGTTCCCTCTCCTTCTCTATCTCCATTTAATGGGTCATCGTGAGCGCAGGGAAGGTCGGGACAGCTGGGATATACGGCCAGTGGTGCGGCGAGCTAATCACGGCCATCTCTGGGGGTGATAAACCCAGACTGGAGAGTCTCGTGTTGGCACAGCCGGTAACGGTTCCATAAACACAGTTACAAGCTGAATTTGGACAGCAGTGCTTTGCTCCTTGATTAGTTCTCCATGACCTGGAAAGCTGACTCTCAAAAGTCTGGGCTTCTTTTCTGGCTCAGTGGTGAACACTCCCGCAGGAGACTGGGAGAATTACAGCAAACCCGAAAGATCCACCTATTATAAAATAAAAATGTTTAGAGTTTTCAGTCCATGTCTGAATTCTGAGCTGTTATGCACAGACTTGCTGGAGCTTGTCTGTAATTTCACAGAGCGACACAGGAAAAAAAAAGGGCCCTAAACCAGAACTACTCTGTGACCCATCAGGTTCTGCAGCTCCTCTGTTTACAGGCTGTTTCAGAGTTAATTGTTAACGCTCTACTGCCGAGGAAAACAGAAACACACCTAGTCTGAGTTGGGCAACAGAAAAGCAGGGAGTACTGATTACAGCCACAATGAAAGTGCTCAGTTAATACATCACCCGAGTGTTGTATCTGTCTATCTGCGTGACTCACAGTCATCCATCAGGTGTTTAATTCAGGTCAAACCAATAATCAAGAAAAGGAAAAATACCACTAACGTGTGAAGTGCTTACAGCTAATGAAAATAAAGGACAGTCGAAATGACACATTGTGAGGAAATCTATGAGTCATCGTAATCTGGACTACGCAACGTTCCTGGTAATGCAATTAAACACGGCCGTAAACCTGTCTCCTCATGTAATGATAAGGCTGTAGTATTCTTGCTCAACGCACATCTCATCAAGTCTGGTGGAGTGAACATGTAACACAGCTCAAGCACGGCCGTAAATTAACACTGAATTAATTCAGGGATTTATGCTTACCCCTAGGGGGGGGCTATCAACCGTTCCAGTTACAAAAAAAAAAAGGTGAAAATGAGATATGTAATACTGATAGGTATTACACCGAGTAGAAGAGACGTGCCAGAGTGCCACTTCCATTTGAATTTATTGGAGAGAGATTATTGCAGTTGTCGAGCTGCGGAGCAACGAGAAAATGGCTTGTGCTACAAAGTGCTGGGCAAAGGGCCTGCAATAAATCAAAAAGTAGACTCAATGTAAAACAGACATTCATCAAATGGAAGTAATACTGGGTGTACCTGCACCTACCCACCAGTACCCAACAGCTTCCCATAAAGTGGTAGCAATTTCAGAAGCCATAGGAACAGAATACAAACAAGTGGCTGAAGCACACTTCAAACTCCAATGGATCTGAAACGTAAAACATACCATTGTTATACACTTACACACAACATGTGACCAGGATCACGTTGCCACAGTTGATTATTTTGCCATTTAATCAACAAATCCTAATGTGGGTTAAAGGAAGGGCAGGAGGGGGGCCGAGAAAACGAAACAAAATCAAATGCAGACCACCTGTGGGGACCCCACTGTCTGTAG